ACTTGTTGCCAGAATTTCGAGGGAACTCTTCTTCGGCTGTAATTTCATTGTGCGGTTATACAATCGAGATGAATGTCTGGGACGGCATGCGAAAGAAGATCGGTTTTCTGGGTTCTATAAATAATGGATAACAATTGCCAACTGGTTGGGATACAAGTTATTCCTAGCTATGAGAAATGGTATTAATTTCTCAAATTAATGAGCCACTAGCTCTATGGTCTATGGCCACTAAAAGCCCCTAATATTACCTGCAATAAAGCTTTAAACATTTTCAGGAAACTTATTTATATTCGCACCTTGTGCCACATTTCAAACAATATCCATTTGAGCAACCACTGAGCGCAATAAACAAATTAAAATGTAAATCATTTTGGAGGGGCCACAAATTCTCGCTAATTCGCGTTGCAAATTATCGAAATTGCTCGTAGATTTTCGCTTTTGAAACCAGCAGGTCGCAGGTCCGAGTCCGAAGATGGCCAGAATCAGAGGCTGCCGAGTGTAACTTGTTATTTGCAGTAATTAATTTTAAGGCAAGAGTGCTAATTAATTCCGAGAGCAGAGCAGATGAAGGCGTTGGAAGCGCAAAGCGCAAATTGTAGACCAACATCCGTCCGACTCTTTTTTTGCAAGTTGGCAATTAACTTGGCGGTTGTGGCCAAAACCGAAACTGAAGCCCGGCTACGGCAATTTCCTATGAATTTAGAAGCGAATCGCACTGCAGGAAGCTTACATAACTGTTTCAGGGCACTCGGCGGCAAATCTTTTGTAGATTCTCGAGGACTGATGCAATGTCCAGCTAGACAGGCCAAGAAGAAGCCATCTGCTGCTTAGTTTTGGCCCCCTCGACAGTATCTGGTCGCATGGATGGATGGGGACCTGAGCCAATAGTAACGCCTACCAATACCTTTAATTATAGTGCCCTGCCCGCCAAGGACCGCGATCAGGGACGTCTAAACATGACGCACGTATAGAAAACATATTTCAAACTAAACAAACTCATCAGAATGGACAAAAAAATGAAACAGAAAGAAGAAAACCCGCTGGGACGCGTGCAAAATTAAAAGTAAAGCGAGAAAAATGTAGACAACACGTCAGGCATGGCCAGCCCCAGTCCCAGTTCCAGTGCCAGTGCCAGTACCAGTGAGTTCTTGGCCCAAAGTGGCAGATCCACAAGAGCGGGGCCTGGCTGATTAGCTACATTGGCTTACAGTCCAAGGTCACTGGGCATGACGTCACTCTAAGCTGATGGATTCGGAATTTCAAAGGAAAGAACAACGCTTTCTTAGAAATTCACAAAAAAGATTCAAGTCTATAAATATAAAAGAACTTTAAATGTCAAATAAACAGGCAGAGAAATAAATTTTTAATTTAGTTTTTAATTTAAATAAAAGTTAATAAAATTCTATGTCGGTCTTACCTTTTTCCCTTCGTGTAGTATGGTCTTGGAGCTAATTTGTCAAGCTTTTCTTTTAAGGCTTGGCTGGTCGAGCTGCGACAAAGACAAAAATTAAGATAATACTAATGCCCACGCAGGTTATTTGTTAAGGCCTATTCTATTTTGGTTTAGCGCCTCATCAAACTTCTAATTTATGAGCCGTATTTCTCAGGCCAGCCTTTGTCTTCGGCCTTTGAGCAATTGAATGGCCGCTGGCAATTTAGCAATTATAAAATGATTAATTTTTGTGCATTTTCTCAACACCTTCCACTTAGCGGCCGCTAACCAAACCAGAACCCAGGTCCAACCCAAAGCCTTAAAAAACCAAAACCAAGAGGCAAACTCCGAGCCAAGAAACTAAAAGTTTCGAGCCGAGCAGAGTTGAGGGCCAGGCGTTAAAGCCCAACTACTGTCGATTAAAGTGCCGCTGCCCCGTTGCCGTGTAGGGTATCATTAGGCCAGACAAAACAATTTAAAATAACTACAGCAACTAGTATAATAATGTTAAAAAGAAGAAGCGACCGCAGCCATAGACAATTTTCATAATGGACAAAAATAAATCTGCTAAGCCGAAGTAGGAGCAGCTGCGGCTCATTCGCTTCCCTGGGAAACTGGGCAACTACCGAACGCCGATCGCGCAACACAACTTAATTAATAAACTAATGAGCAGTTTGCAGACAAGTCCCCTGAAACCCCGGCCATCGGAGCCATCCCTCTCCAAAGATCCAGTCCATCTCGTATCCCGAGATTATCTACATAGTAGTCACAGTCGCCGGCGTGCATCGTTCCTGGAATCGCTGGAGCCCAGCCTATTTGCTAAGAGATCAGCCAGAAATTAAAATAAATGTGCAACGTGCAAAAATGCTAAAGAGCTCAACGGAAAGTAAAACTGGAACGTGTTCAGTGCCGAAATACAGAGAAGCGAAACAAAAGTAAAAGCCCCTAAAAAGTGATTTATTCATATGAAAATGAAACGTACTGTACGTGTGAGTGGAATGATTCAAACTTAATATTTTTAATAAATATGCATAGCAATGAATTATTGATTTGTTGGTAAATGTTTTATTTCATTACTTGGACCTAATAGAATGTAAAAGCTTGTAGAACTACGATTGCAATCATCATAAAGTCTTATATTTGTAAGAAACATTAGTGGAGGACTATTCAATTTATGCACGAAATTCATTAAACGCTTAACTGCTACTCCAAGTGCCAATTTTCCGTTTATATTTTGGATCGTAAAGCTTATATGTATATGACAAAAGCCAAGCATCTACCTTATCCTATTCGGTTAATGTGGCTTAAAAGATATTTAAATGATTTGATCCTCCTCCAAACGTCATTTGCAAAGCTTTTCACACTTTATTGGCAAGATCGTAAAACAGAAGACTCCCCATGCCATTAGTGGAAAACGGTCTCTATAGACATGATCCATCACATAATGGGATTCCTCAAAGGCTGAAACTGATGTAAACCTGGCCTGTTAATATATAGTCTTTTGTTGGCGATATTTAAGCGAACTAATAAATGTCATAGAATAAAAACGAATGCTTCAGGGCTTTGCCTAAAAAGCCATAATTACGGAGTCATTATTTAGGAGGATACAACTCAAAAATTCGCCAAAGGCGGCCGTCAGGCGACTCAGACTCGGACAAATGAGATTAAGGAAATGGCAGGGGTCGAAAAATAAAAGTGTACTCTGACACGACCGGCAGTGCAAGTAGATGGCTGCAGGTTCAGCCAGTAAATCATTTTGTTTTCACTCTTGTTGCTGCCGCAGTTTAATTATCAGGACTCGAGATTTCGTCTGTCCAGCAGCTCGTAAATTGTGGCGAGAACAAGAAACGGCTGACGGCTGCATCGGGAACATATTTCTTCGGCCGCGTGTAAATTGAAAAAAAGTTGAAAAACTATTCAAATCAATGAAAACTGATAGCCCCAGGGCAGCGGCGGCCAAGTCATGATTAACATGGGCTTAGTGGACCTTATTCCCTGGCAATATCCTAAGTACCTTTTGGCATTGGCACTTGTATCAGCACTGCGGAAAAAAGATAACTTTTACATAAAACATTCAAAGAAAAGGGCTTTAAAGGGCTCTTACTTTTTCTGACAGTGCAGGATGCTCCAAAGATGGCACCATGTACCATTTAAGCGACATGCCAACACTTGACCAGCCCCAGAGCCAGTCGGGCCAATGGAACCTGGCAAAATGTATCATTAACAAGTCACGACAAATTCGCAGGCCGGCCAACTGCGACTCCGACTCGGACTCGGACTTCTACTTCTACTTGGAGTTGGACATTTGAAAAGCTACGAGCAGAGCCAAATTTGGTAAGACCTCGACACCCGACATTAGATAAACTGCGATTCCAGAACCAGTCGGAGCTCTCCGGGCCTCCGGGCCATGGAGTCCGAGTAGTGAATCTTGTATCAAGTGCCTGGGACGTGGACAGGTTGGCCATTTCCCGATCGCCGGCGGCGGTCGCTTTGAACGGACCAGACCCACCGCCACGTTGAGGTGTGAAAAAATCTAAAATGCAAACACCAAACACCAAACAGCAATCGCGGGGCCTCGGCCAGGGTCTTCTATCTGCAGTCCATTTGTAGTTGGTCCCCTGGGCGCTGCCAAAAAGCAACTGAGCCACAGATTGAAACGGAAAGCGATCGGATCGGTGGAGATAGGATGTGCGTCCATGTCCAGCTAACAGATCCAGGCTCGACCCATCTCTCTATACCCATTCCAAGGCGCTTTTCGCAGTCGGATTCGCATTCGCATTCACATGAATTATTTATTTCAATTGTCTGCGAGCTGCATTATTTTTAGAGTGCTGGCCATAAAGCCGGGCAATTTATGATCGGCGGTCAGGAGCCGTTCAAATTATCGCAGGGCATGCAAAATTTATTAACAAACATAAAAATTGCTCGAGAATTTATTTCATCTTAATTCAATTTAACAACTTAAACAGCCATAAAGTGTTCACATAGTAAATCAATAGCAACTCTATGCAGATGGGCAGATCCCTGCCCAGTTCTGTCCTGTCCACATGCATCATCGTCATAATCATAATCAACGTGCCCCGTCTAGGGACTCCCGACGCCCGACTCCGTCTCCAGATCGTCTCTAGGCCCCCAGTCCACTGGATTTATGAGCTGCGCATGAAAATGAGTCAAAACAAATTATGCCGCTCGGAGGCCGAGTTGGGAGTTTCAGATTCTTTTTTTTTTCTCTGTCCAGGTGGAGCTGATTGACAGCACTTCTCGTATGGAGTCGGGCAGCGATTATGATGTGAGCGCTGCCAAAAAGATTTCCATCAGCGGCAACAATTTCGAGGCATTAATCATGGCCGTCAAGTACGAGGGTGGGTCTGATGGAGTTCTACCCAAAAACTGCCACAAGGTTGAGCAATGTCGATGGAGGAATGTACCAGGTCCGATAAGAATCGCGGCCGGATGATGGTATTTAAATCGTACGCAGAAAGGATTAGTCCAAGACAAGTATAGGAACCGACAGAAGTATATACCCTTGTTCAATAAATATTTTTAAATCATTTTATTTGATGCGAAACTCTTTTCAATAATTTAGAATAATTTAGAAATGGAATTGATTTCGTGAGTGGGTGAAGCAATGAATGATTTCTCGTCTAGCTCTGGCAGTAACAACCGTCGGCGGTGTTCTGCTTGATCCAGTCCAGGAACTTGCTCACCCTGGCGTACACTCCTGGGGCATTCTTCTGGGCGCATCCATAGCCGAAGGACACCACACCGGCGAGCTTGTAGCGACCCTCGTTGACGATCAGTGGGCCGCCACTGTCGCCCTGGCAGGCGTCCTTGCCACCCTGCTGGACCAGGCCGGCACAGAGCATCACCTCGGCGATCTTGTCCTTGTAGCGGGTCTGGCGGCAAGCCTGGTTGCTGATAATTGGCACATTTACCTCCTGCAGGTAGTTCGAGGTGACACCACCCTCCTTGATCAGACCCCAGCCGGCGACAACAGCCTGAAAGAAAAAATAGTTTCCTCTTTAGAAGATATCTTTAAAATTATATGCTTTAAAAACTTACGGTCTTGCCATCAAAGTTCTGGTTGGCCGTGGGTAGGCAGACTGGACGCATGTTTCCGGTCAGAGGCACTGGAGACTCCAGCTTGAGCAGAGCCACATCATTGACAATGTTGTTGGGATCGTATTTGGGATGGACAGTGGTCTGGACCACCTTCCTGACAATGCCAGGGTCCCGGGAGGATCTGTCGATCTGGAGCAGGCGAATGGTGATCTGATCCCGGTTGCCGTGTACGCAGTGAGCAGCAGTCAGGACGTAGCGATCGTTGATCAGGGATCCACCGCAGAAGAGTCGGGGATAGTGGCGACCCTTGACCAGTTGGGCGGTCCATGGATACTTGTTTGAGCGCACCTGTTGGCCACCCACGATACGGTTAACATTAGGGGTTCCACAGACTGAAATAAGAAGAAATTTTAGAGGTTGCAGGGGCTAGACTTATCAGTAAGAGGGATATAAGACTTACAGCAGTTCTGTTTGGTGTTGCAGGAATTGCGATTCTTCACTGGACGCACAGCCTTAAGAGCTTCTTCGGAAGGATCTACCACATCCACCACATCGGCGAACTTCTGGGCGAGGGTCTGGTGGGGTGCCTGGTACTGGTACTGGGCCAGAGCCAGGGTGCAGCCCAGCAGCAGCAGTAGTGCCGGGGCCAAAGAAACGCTCATCTTGTCGGGAGTTAACTTCTGAGGAAAGTGACAGAGCTGTTTGCCAAACACCGGCTACTTATAGGCCCCTCCAAAAATCGAGATCGCGATGGAGATGGAGATCAAGTTGGGCATTTTTAATAAAACTAAAAATATGAATGTTTTATTGCTTGTATAAGCAGCGCTCTTCTTTCTTTCTTTCTTCGGCCGAACGACTCTCTTCTGTCTTTCTCCGCTTTCTTTGTTTGACGGCGGCGCCAGCGTCGCAGTCGGCGGAGGCAGTATCTTATTTGCATAACACTTTATAGCACCGCACACACGCTCAGGCTTTGCGGTTCTCAAGTATAGACGGTTTTGTATTTTTGGCTCAGAACAAATCATCACTTCCACCCAAAAAACTTGCCGAAAGGGCAAATAAACTTTTTAAAAGCATTGAAATTATACACTTACGGAAAAGGCCGAAAAAGATTTGGGTTATTGGAGGTGGTCAGAAGGGGAAGTGTATCTTTTTGAAGATTGAATACCAAACTAGCAAGATCATCCAATGACTTGCCTTTCAATTACCGATCAAGGTTTTAATCTGCAAGTACATAGTTCCAACTCATTGCAGTTATTCCTAAAAGACTCTAATCGAAAGAAAATAAGGTAAAATAAATTATTTTAAAATATTTATAATTTGATATAGTTCCTTTATATAGATTAGCTATAATATTAAAACTTCTTCAAGTAAATATATTTTTTAAAAACCCTTGAAAGGGTATCTAAAGTACCCTAACAATTTTAATGAAAATTTCTCCTTATGGCTTTGCATATTCATGAAAGTGGAGCAAACCCAAAACGCCAATTCCACCGCCACCCGTCGCTTTTTTTTAATGGACTTTTAATGCGCATCTGGAGAGGCTTAGGCATCGTCATCGACAGCGCCTCTGACCCGAAAGATCTGGCCAAAATAAACTCGGGCGCTGAGTTGGCAAATTCCCTCCAGTTGGCCCGGCCAAGTCGAGTGTCTCTTTGGCCGCGGCACTCGATCGCATCGGAATTGCGAATTGCGATCTGGCTGGCATTGCAGCATAAATATCCTTTAAGTGCCGGTTATCCGGTATCATCATTAACCGGAGGCAAACGCCCGCTTTCACGCTGCTGCTGTACCAGCCACGAATAATTTATAAGGCTTTACGATGGGGGCAAGCCTTGCATTTGGTTGCATTTCGGCATAATTTACAAAACGCAACCAGAACAGAACAGATACGAACAGGGGACAAGTTATTCCACTGGGTCCCCGCAGTACACCCAGTTCTTCGATCATATTTCTTTGTTTGGAATGCCAACGTCCTCGTCCTCGTCCTCAGCTTCGAAATTGATTCGCCTCGGGCCTCAGTGTTTTCCATCCAAACGCCCAAAATATAAATTAATAAAAGAAGTGCGTTGATAAATTGCGTGCAGCATGAAATTATGCAACATGCGGCACTTGTACGCTCCACATGCAACAAATTGGTGTATTCAGAACAAATAAATTATTCAAGAATCGAAATTGGGGGGAATGAACGATAAAGATTGAGATTTGGTTTACATACTAATAGTGGGTCAACCATTAGGGTCATAAATCTGCCAAAAAACCATTAAAAATGATCAATTTTGGAAGTGGCCCAGACTCTAAGCCATTTCTAACTATTATAGATAACAGCTTAATATTTCCATCAACGAATTTCGTAAAGTCGTGCCGTTTTCAGTGACTTCCCCACATAAATAACTTTTACTCTTATGCAAAAGTTAAGCAAATGCAAATTTAGGCGTTCGCATGGTTTGTTTTAGAAATTTGTTTCCCTTCGTATATTAACATATTTTATGCGCAGATCCGAATAAACGCCACCGACTTGAGCCAGACTCATTTATTAATCAACGAAAGCATCGGAGATATGCAAATGGGAACGCTCGGCTAAATGCAGCACAAGATCTAATTGGTGCAATGGTAATTGCCAGAAAACAGAACAATGAAAAGATTGTAGAACTGAGACAATCGGATTTCACCATAGTCATTATGCTTTCAGCAGCGGCAGTAGCAGGCGAAATTCCACAAGTGGGCGTGGCTGAGTGACAAACACGCAGAAGGAGTTGCATATTTAGAATGTATAGGATGCACATACCTACATATATTCAGATGGAGATGGAGATCATTGAACCGAGTCTGAGGAAAACAAACAAAAGACTGGGAGCCACATCCACCAGAACAGAGATGGGGGGTTGGGATGCCAAACTATATCACAATTTAGAAAGGTTGAATGGCATGCCATTCACTCGCTTCGCCCGGTGGCAGTTGCCCGTCAGAGTCACTCAGTCAGTCACTCATAAATTTGCATAAGAACTGAATTGCATTGCATTATCTAAGCGGCAGTTTGCAGCTTGCCATTTGCAGTTGCAGTTGCAGTTGCTGGTGCACTTATCTCAGTGGTAGAAACAATCATGGCAAAGGAAAAGATTTTAATTATTGTGTGTGACGGCGACGACGACTCCAGCTGAGAAGTGGCTGTAGAGTGAGAAAAAGAGAGTCTAGAATGGTTAAGTACACTTGGAAAAATTCGTATAAATGAATTACCTCCTAAAATCCGATTTTCTACTTTCTTCCCTCAAGTCCTATTAGAAGAAATCGGACCCTTAGTTAAATAAAACTTTAAATATGATATCCAAAATATATCCTAATACTTCCCAGTGCCTTTAGCCACATCTATCCCAAGCCCCAGCTTGAGTTGGAGTCTGTTCTGTGTTTGTCTCCCGATGTGTGTCTTTTGGCCGATGTGCTGCATTTGATAACTGCCAGCAATGAAGTCTTAGACCCTTAGATAATGAAAAGGAAGCAAGTCTTGAGTCTTGAGACTGGTGCACTGTAATTCAAATTAGTAGCAGTCCGGCACGAAAAAGGGGAGTATGTCTTAGATGGAGGGAAGACTCAAAAGAAGACGACTCGTCTTCTGATTCTTGGCTACCGAAGAATTGTCGGCCCCTGCAGTGCCAACTGGCAACATCTTCTTCCTCAATGACATTAATTCATTTCGTATGCAAAGCAATCAGTGAACTCTTCTCCTCCAGAACCTGATCCCCGTTTCATCTTCGTCTTCGGTCTTCCATCTCTGGTCTGAGGTCTGCGCGGCTTGGCAATTAGAAAAGAGTTGGAAAATTGTATGCGGCTCCAGGTTGGACTTTGTCTGGGTCTGACTTTTCCGACTGGCACTGGCACTGCGCACTGATTTGCATTGCACGATTCTCAACTTAATTTAACATAAAGTAAACAAGCGCAGTTAACAAGCCAAATACAAGCCATGAGCGTGCGGGTGCCGGCCACAGCATCATCTCCAGTGCCAGTTCCTGCTCCAGCTTCAGTCTGAACCTCTCAGCTCCATCTGCACTCCATCTGCATTTCCCGGTCCACAATCCCTCAGACTCCGAAAAGGGCCTCATCCCTCCAGCCTGACCATGCATGCCCTCCCAATCCCAGCTAGCCTGGGATGCAAAAACCCCCCAAACCGACCCCGCTGGGGCTGCTGTCGTGTGACGTGTTGTGAAAATTCTAAAATATTTCGCCCCTGCCGGTCGAGCTTTCTCACAAGTCAACGCCAGCGCGAGACACTTTAAAAGTGCACAGTGTCTTGGGATACTGTCAAAATTTTATGAATTTTGGGTAGAAAACAGAAAATGTAATTTAAGTTTGTATTCTTTTCTTAAAGAGTCTTTTTTTCTTAGATAGCCTAGACTCTATTTATTAAATCTTTTACCAATGAACCGCCAGAGGAAGCCTGGCAAGCGTTCTGCATGGATATAATTTGGAAGAGAATGCAAACTTTTTCAATGCTGCTTTTCCGCTGCTGTTACCACTGTGCTGCAATCTTGGCCTCAAGCTGAGGCATCGTGAGGAGTTTATTAAAAGCCACGACAACAGCGACTGTTCCAGCTCGTCGTCCCTACACCAAATCTTTTGTAAGGTAATTGCTCATTTGAGTTATAAACACGCACACATTCCCCCGCCACCCGATCCAGCCGATCTGGCGAGATGGCAATCGGGGCTGCCCAGAAAGGGCTTTGTGGAGATACTGATGTTCTGTTCGTCCCCGCTTTGCATGTCTAACAATTGTTCTTCTAATTGCGTTTATGGCCAGGCGAGAGAACTGACTGGACGGACGGCTGGACACTGGATGGACAGTATGGAGTGGTCCGCTCCAGGCCCCCGATGCCTTGTAAACGCAATCGGACAAGATAATCTCGGCATCGCAGCGTGCGCAATGATTTGCTGGGGCCCCAAAAAGGGCTTACCCCATAGTCCAATGGGCGAACTCCCACCACCATCACCACCACCGAGTTACTTTGTTGCGTGGCATGTGGCATGCCGCATGGCTAGCATTTGGGCGCAACAAATTGCCGCAACGCATCTGCCAGACACTGGCTGAATTGAGTTGAGTTACTCAAATTGGCATTGGCATTGGCATTGAGGGAGAAATGCGTTACATATCGCATTTATGGGCTGCTTATTAAGTGGTGCAACAAATTGACAGCTCCAAAGAGCCTCCAGAGCAGAGCAGAACAGTTTCAACGTCAATTACCCCCAAACGATTCGCAGAAGACTCTCCAGCGGGCTATGGCCAGCCAACACTTCATTAAAAGTAAATAAGGTGTCCATGAGATATTGGGATAAGTTGGCCAACGAGGGTGTCTCTATTTTTTGCAGCTTTTCCAAGTTTTCGACATTGAAAGGCTTAAATTGCAGTAGACAGAGATCATTGATAAGCGAAGTTGGTTCTCAGTGGTTGCAACATATTGTATAGGCTTAGAAATTAAAACTTTTTGAGCTTTGATTTGGCGAGTAATTTATTAAATAATTTTCATGTTAAATAATACTCTTTCTCTATATTTTAAATTCTCTAATAAGATGTCCCAACATCCTGTGATATGGTCATAAAGCCAATATGCCTCAGATTCTTTATGTAGCGCAATATCATCTCAGGCTCACCTATGAAAGCCCTCGACAGTTCCTGAGGCCAAGGTAAAGGCATCAAATAGTTCGTGCAATTGCCAGTTATGGCTGAAAGTGCAAAAAAAGGCGCGCGTCAAATGCTGTGCAGACAACAACAAAAAAAAGGGAATAAAGGCAAGTCTAGGCGAATAGCCTCCAGATGTGGACCGCCGGTTACAATAACAATCTGGTAGGGACGACTGGCCAAGAAGCCTGGCAATATGTGAGGAAAATTGAAGCCCAGCTCGCTCTCTAATGATAACTGCAGGAACTTTAAAGGCGCGAGATTGCAGAAATTTCCCAACTACCAGCGGATGGTTTTGCAGTTCCCGGTAACTCTGGAACCCAGAAACTCTGGGCCCAACGACAACGACGACAAGTGTCAAGTGAAGCTTAGATAAATTTCAAAAAGGGCAACAACATGGGCTGGTCCGTGAGGAGGAAGCAGGCGACGATTGCTTGCCAGCAGGCACTTGGTGTTGCGGAATGAAATGAAATGGCTAGAGACTGAGGCCTGGCCTCACCTTGCCATGCCGCACAAGTAGCCAGCAGCCAGAACTCCATCCGCGGGCCTCATCCTCATCCTCGTCCTCAACTTCAAGACCAGCCTCGACCCCACCACATGCTCCTGGAAATCGGCTGAGTGGCATGCCATGACTGCCTCCGCTTCCTGCTTGTTCTGCTCGTATTTGAACTTCCAGACACGCTTTTGGCCCTTAACATTTTTGACCGTCATTTTTGCCGATATAAATTCTTCAGCATCTGCTGATTCTTCTGCTGAGGCTTCTGCTGATGCTGCTGGTTCTTTTCCTTCTTTCTTTCTTCTGGTGAAGAGGGAAACCGCTTCGGGTTGCACTTTCTTCGTCGTGCCAGCAAAAGTGTAGATCAGCGCGAAATCTAATTTATGCAATGTACAAGAACATACAACATGTTGCACGATGATGAAAATGCGGCAGCCAGCCAGCAATATTTTTTATTAAAAAGAAAAATAAGAAGAGAAAAGAAGGAGGACCAGCAGCGGCAAGACAATCGAGCAACGACAACAACGACGCATGTTTTATGACTCTCATTGTCATTTATGCAAATTAGGAAACGGCTCTGGCAATGGCTCATGCGGCCTATGAGCCGGAGGAACCGGAGGAGCTCCAGGAGCTGCTCCAATGATGCTGATACCCAGTGCCGATGCCGACGCCGATGTCGATGCCGAAAGCCAATCCATGGCCACTTCTAAGCAGCGGCGCAAATTTCCCACAAAATCGAAGAACCGCGTCGGCCCGGCTGCCTCGTGGCCTGAACTTTTTGTGTCATGGCCTAGGAGTTGGGCCAAGAGAGGAAGGTATCCATGCCCCCGTTCCCCCCACCTGGGCCCGATGATTATGAGCAACATGTTTTATGATATCTGGCGGTGATTTATTATCATTTGATTTAAAAAGCAGTGGACAGGACACACATCAATACATGTGGCTGGCTGGTCATAGTCGGCGGAGACATGGCGTTATTTATAGTTTTGGCCGGGACCTTCGCCGGGAAAAAGGGGCAACGGGCAACTGGATATACGGTCCAGGTCCCTAGATGTGGAGGCTGCATTTCATGCTTATTATAGAAATGTGCGCTTTTATGAGCGCGCCCAGCATGTTAAAGGTGGAGAGAGCCGAGAGCCTTTTGGCGATTTTAATTAGCGCAGCCCCAGTCTATAAGCGGCTGATCTTGTTTCATGTCATGGAGGCCGCTGAGCAGATAATTAGCCTCAAGCAGCGCTTAGAACAGTTACAGTTGGCAGGTGAGTGATTTTAATTAGCTCCATGGGAGTTGCACATCACCATGAACCCTAATTCACTATGAAGGGACAGTCTAGACAGTAATAATTACTTTTTTAAAGGCATAACTTAATTTCTTAATTTTACAATCCATTAAAAAACTATCTGCATACTTTTAGGAGTAAAACAAATAGCTTTGCCAATATTTTTATTAGAAAATGATTTTTTAATTGCCATTTCAGATCCACAATCATGTTGCTTGGATTGATTTATGTGCATATTATAGAATTTAACGATAGCGCTTCCTGGTCAGCTTTACGAGGCCCATTACACACCTCAGCAGATAAATTCGCTCTTGAGCCACGATTAATGTTGGCTTAATTAGAAATCGTGTAGACAATACAATTCAATAGAACATCTAAATCAGAGACTCTCCACACGCTAATCACAGATTTATACCGACCGTAGGGGCAATAATAGAATTTTACGACCCATTGGATCCCTTTCTATTCGAAACTTAATGGCGCCCCCATATAATGGCTAATGCCAGAAAAGAGGATCGTTCATTAGGCCCTGTTACTCTGATTAGCCAGGATGCCAGGGATTTGCTTGAACACTTTTATTTGCCTTTGTGCAGTTGTGTGCCTGGTTATGGGATCCCTACTTTAAGAGGCTTATGGCAGCTGGCCAGTCTATGGCAATCTGGGCCCAATACTCCCAGGCCAATTAGCCGGGCCCTTCTTTTTTTTGTCTGAAGGCTTCATGGGACACTCGGTCCCTAGTTCTGATTAGGTTCCCACTGCAATTGCGACTTAGTAATCAGACTGGTGGCGTTGCAGTTCCGTTTGCATAAATTACCGCTAGCTAGCCGCATGTATTTCACAATCGGAGACGTCATCGATGGAACCGCCTACGTGCCGGGCTATCTGCGGTCCCTCGGTCGCATCATCCCACTATGAAGTTGATGCGCTCATCTCGACGATGTTGATACATGCCACTAAAAATAGACTTTGCCGATGTTTGCTTAATTTGCTTTGATAATTTATTACTTACCTTCACGTACTCGTACAATCCTTAACGATGTACTTGCCACAAGTGCTGACTGAATACTATGATACGCCAAGCTGTGAGTTTTCACAGATCTTTACAGAGAAAAATAAACTTTAGTTTTAAATAATATTAAATCATAATTTGCTGTATCAGTTCATTTGGCTAAATGTATGTGTAAATATAATATTATTTAATAAATGTTTTTCTTTTATCTTTAAGTTTTCTTTCCATGTGCCAGCATTAAACGCAGGCATACCAATTATTAAATTGATGTGTTTTCTATTCTTCCATTGATTTTAGCCATTTTGCATTTACAATTAAATGCCCATTCACGTGCCAGCCAGCCAGAAAAGCAACATCAATTGCTGGGTGTCTATGACATCACCATTAAATCTCTCTCCTTAAAACCTTTTTATATTTCTTATTTTTTTGTTGTAGTTGCATCATCGATGTTGCCCATGAGCATTAGCTATTTTGGTTGAGGGCCTTATGCTTACATATTGCCGTTGTCCGTTAGACGTTCTCGCCAAATCGGTCTAACTGCCGCCTACTCCCGGACTCAGGAGTTCAGGACTGGCTAGGCTTCGCCCATGGCTAGTCTTTTCAATTGCAAATTTAATTCAATCATTGACTATAATTTGGCGCACTCGAAGCAGTGGAAGGCAGGAATGGGTACTGCAGTCTGTAGTCTGCAGACTGCAGTCTGAAGTGCACATTTAACAGTTAAATGTTGCTGCGGCGTTTGCATTTAACACGCGCAAATTGCTGCTGCAACAACTTGCAGCAAGGTAAAGGTAAGGGAAAGACTCCGAGACACAGCCACCATTAGAAATTCTAATTTTCGCAACAACAACAGCAGCAACACTGCAATCAAGGCCACTGAAAAAAATATATAAGATTTTTGACAGGAAGGACTTTAAATAAAGAGTTTGTTCCCATATTTGTTTATGATACAAATTTTTTAAAAACTTGAAAGCAGATCTTTTTAAATCAAATATCCAATTTGTTCAATAAACGCCTTTTTTATTTGTGCAGCTTGGAGAGTCACCCGCAATCGAATAAGCGGATGCCAGGCCAGGATTGCAGCCAAAGAAGATGCAGATGAAGGTGGCAAATATGTAAGTCACGTTGCCCATTCCGAGTTGTTTTGGGTCGGGCTTTGTTTGGTGTTGCCATTGACAACAGCTTTGCAACAGCGGCAGAAGCAGCAGCAGAAACAGCAGAGGCTGCAGCGGCAATAGCAACAGCCGATGCAATGTTGTATGTTGCAGATGCCGCCGTAAACAATTGCGATAAAAAAGCGTGCGAATTTCTCACGAACATTTCGAGTATAGACCAAGGCGAATACCCAGCTTTCGAGCCTTATAACCCAGCCACCTATATTGCCATGGCCAATGCCAAAGACAGAGACTCGTCTCCAATTCGCCGGAGCGCATGTTCTGGGGACGGCGGTATTTGTGCTTTGATTGCCCAAATCCAACATCTACAAGCAACTAGCAACCAGCAACATCCAGGCTTTTGGCTTCAACAAGTTTGCCTTAAGTGGGCTGTGGGTCAAGCCATGGCCG